CCCTGGCAGTTTCATCTGTCTATGCTGATGGGGTGACAACTTGAACCGATGTACATATGTTCAGGTTCTACGTTATGATTAACTAACTGTGGTTCGTTCCATATAAATCTTACCGTTGTCATTTATGGTAGTATATATCTGTTCTGATCGTCACTACGCCACAAACTTTATTACTGTATTTTCCATGCAAAACCCTATTTTAATAAATCTATAATCAGAGCACAAGAAGATCAGTTGAGTAGTCACCAGTATCTTTAACTAATCAAATGCAAAACTCACATGATTAAATAAGTAAAACATAAAACCTTAATGCACTAAAACCCTCAAATCTCAGTAAGTACATAAGTTGGATATTTCTGATGCGAAGCTGATTAGCATTATTCACAATTGACTGTAGTTTATGAATAATAAAAGATAAATTATTATAAAGCAACTCCACGAAAAAATTAGTAGCCACTCATCAAAGCTATATAGAAACTGATTGGTCAAAAAAGTAACTAACCAAATTTGAGATTTCTATTTTCCTAGCAACATAATTATTGAGATGTTCTGATGATCCTTTTATTCCCTATGACATCAATAAAGATCTATAGTATCTAGTTGCTAAAATCTAATTAAATGAAGTGAGTTAAGAATGCATGGAAAAGTCTCTAAATCCGATTATATTGTAATGTTTCGTAAGTGCACATAAACCAATTAAATAGTGATTTCAAACATTTATTCTAGTGTACTTATCTTTTAATAGATTTGTGGTCATTGTCGTTCGAAGTTTGAATTACTCATTAATACACCTAAAGGTCGTATGCTTCGACCCAGTTTAGCTGCACAATATGATAAACGTCTTCTGCCGCATTGTTCTTCCAATAATGTAACTAAAATGCCTTGTGAACTAGAAAAGTATCAGTTGTCTAGAACTCCAGATGAAAATAATCGAAATCATAATGTTGAAAATGGACTATCAAATATGTTCAAGGACTTACGAGTTAAATGAAATTTCTCCCTAATGTTTTTGTTTTTACTGGGTTATATTTCTATTGATAAGATAATATTTTTGATGAAATTATTTTCTACCCTGTGTATGTGTTTGCATTTGAACATACCCTGTAATTCAATATTTTCACTTATTTTTTTTACACCTTTTCTGATTTCTACCTGTTAAGTTTTATCTTAAAATATGTTCTCAGGTTGGATTTTTCACTTCTTTTTCTAATTATTACTCGTGTAATCGATGCATTTAAAAATAAAATAGATTCTCTCTAAAAAATTGAAATAGTTCATTTCGTTTATTTGAAATGTGTTATAAATAACCCCACTATAACTATTTCGTATACTTCACTCGGGTGTAAATGTAAGCACATTCTGGATAAAATAGCGGAAACCCAATATATTTAAACAGCTCAATCGGGATTGTTTGCACAGCCATTGGGGGCATTTTCATTGTGTAATAGGAACCAGCCATTTCAATTTCATAACTTTGTGCGGATGATATGTTAGACCCCCAAACTTTCATCTTGTGCTTTCTTAAACGGTAGTGGAAATGGAAGATCAAATACATCTGGTGGATAATTTCTGAACCAATTATCATGATTTTACCTTGATATTATTACTTCAGTTTAATTCACCTCTCTTTTGGTCAGTGTACACGTATCTGACAACAAATCTACAAAATTTGAAATTGTTAATAACTGTCTTTAATGAACTATGGGGTTCTACTCTTGATTGTTGAAGACAATATAATTGGGTGACCCGGGATCACTCCTGTTTCTTCTAAGTATATGAACAAAAGGAGGATATTTCTCCAGATACTTTTTTTGCTGTCACTGACCGACAAAATATAATTATGGAGAATTCATAATATAATTCCAAAGTTCGAATCCCTCTGTTGACTCCTATTCATTTCCGAACCACTGATGTCAAGAGTATTTAAAGTTTATTATTTGTTTGTAGATTTTCAAAAGAGCGACTCAATACGATTTTCGGAGAAGTGAAAGCAATAATATTTATACTAGATATGGTGAAAATTATAGTCTAGCGAAAAACGAAGAAACATAAAAATTAACAGTTCCAAAGCCTTTGTGAAAAGTGATAAATTTGGTTTTAATGAGGAATTGTTACTTGAAGCAAGTACACCAACAATAAATCCACGAAATGTACTGAATAAAGGTAAAGGCAGCTATCGATATCTGATGGTGAAAAGTTTACTTTAACGCCTTTTAACATCTGGTTTACTGTTTGGATGATTGGAAATAAATGGATTCTTGTATGGTCATACGTATACACGATTCCAACAAAACGTTCGGTGTTGAGAGAAGCATCGAGTGGGTTAGCAGCTGACTTCTCAGGATTTCCAGAAACATTTTGAACAAATGAAAAATAGGTAGAATAGGCGTATTCCCATTAGTGGAAAATATAAGACTGATATACCTGCACACATACTCATTGAACTAAATATTGTGTTTGATTGGTTCCCAAACAAACGATCATTGCTTTTATATGCACTGGAATAGCCCAACGATTATTTGTAATACAATTATAGTTGTCTATAAGCACTCTTCACAAGAGTACTTCCCTTGATAAGAGGTTTTGGACGATAGCTTCCCCGGTAAGTTTATTAAATCAGCGTACTTTTCTGTATCAATTGAGCATAGCTAGGATTTCACTTTCAGAATTTGAATACGATTTCCTTTTTTAGTAGTATTTTATTTTTAAATATTATGATTCTCATGGTCGTCTGGGGATTTATATATGAAGTTTCCGAGTTTGGTAGTCACCAAATAAATACATCCTACACAATTTCACACTAGCATATTAGAAATTCAAAGAAAGGCTACTGAAGAGATATATGTATTGAGCATTCTCAGCAAAACAAACATACAAAATTATTAATTGAACTATAAACATATAAGACATTTGTACACAAAAATTGATATACCGTACAGCCAAAATAAAGGATAGTTAAAATGAATTCCGATCAGCAATAAGGAATGGATTTCAGTACTACCTACTAATTAGTGACAAGTGTTGGAGTATAATTCACACCTTGGGTGCGCTAATACAATCTCATTAGCAAGATTTATGCTTAAACGATGAGCGAAATATTGAGAAAAAAAGTTAATCAAGTCAATTATCACTGACTTCATAATTACTGGAAACTTTTCATAAATCAAAAATCCGCTTTGCACCCAAAAGAAATATGTTCAGCCACTCCGCCTGTAGTTCTTCTAGAGTTACTGCCGGTCCCATGCCCGGGCAAACGACGGTTGGTGATAAGTCTTGCAGATTTGAACGCTATATTCGTCTCCTAAACTATTCTGTAACCTCCAAGCTAAAACTAGACAGCGATCTGAACACGAGGCAGAAGACTCAAGGTATGCGAGAAGTAGTTTACTCCAAGGTTCATTTTATTACAGAAAATATAGGGTTTTTATAATATTTTGGATGTCCTTAGGTCGCTGGAATGCTACTAAACATAGTAGCAGTGTAGCAGCCAACTAATCAGAGCCTCTGCATGTGACATTTCGCTTCCTTGATATTTCTGGCCAAGACTCCAAGTGAACGCTGATTGGACGAAACGTTTCTTAGTGTTTCTTGATGCTTGCTTGTCTTTTGCGAGGAATTTTCTGGATCACCTCAACAGTTGGGCATGGGGTTAGCGACCCAATTCTTGTAGAAAACTAACTCGCTAAAAAATTAGGAAAAGATGGAAATGGATAGGACATACATCACGCTAATCGCCAAACTGCATCACGAGACAGGCCCCAACATGGATTCCTGAAGGGAAGCGGAAAAGAGGAAGGCCAAGAACACATTACGTCGGGAAATAGAAGCAGATATGAAAAAGATGAATAACAACTGGAAGGAGCTGGAAAGGATTTCCCAGGATAGGGTTGGATCGAGAATGCTGGTGAGCGGCCTATGCTATTTCACGAGGAGTAACTGACGTAAGTTTCATAAATCAAACACGGACAACTGTTAGATTGTATTTTTTTAAATAATGTAGTCGGTCGTATGAATTCCGCATGATGTTGACGATCTTTTCAGGTACACCATAGTGTGAGGAAAGGATTCATACGGTTCTCCTATCCACTGTCTAATGCTTTCTCATATTCAAGAAAGTTGATGTATACTGACGAGTTCCATTCAACTGACTGTCCAACAATGATCTATAGTGTCGTGTTTTGGTCTGTGCACGACATATACTTACGGAATCTGACCTGTTGATCTCGAAGTTGAACGTCTACCGAATCTTTCATCAAGTTCAGCAACATTATTGAAAACCTTTTTTGATACTGAGAGTAGTGTGATGCCTCTGCAGTTCTCTCATTTGCCTAGATCTTTCCTTGGCATCTTGATGAGGTATCCTTCTTTTCAGTCTATCGGAACTTGTTGATTTTCTCAACTCGTTCTGAATAGAACGTAGAGTATGTTTGCAGGTATCTCTGTTTCTGACCTCACCGCCTCGTCTGGTATACTGTCAGACCCTGCTGCTTTCCCACTCTTGATTCGTCTGATGGCCATCCTGATTTCTTTGATAATTAATAGTGACATCTATAGGTAGGTCTGTGTGTATTTCTTCGAGTTCCTCAAAGTGCTCTCCCCACCTGTTCTTGAATCTCAGTGATTGTCTTGCCTTCTGTGTCCTTGACCGGTCTCTATGGTTTACTATATTTCCCCGCTAGTTTCTTCGTTGTGTCGCATATTTGTTTCATATTTCCTTCTGTTGAAGCTTTGTGCGCTGTTGTTGCTAGGTCTTCCACATATCTCTTCTCGTTAGCTCTAATGCTCTTCTTCACTTGTTTGTTTGATAATCATCACAACAGCGTTAATACGAACCAAATATTTCGTATTATTTGTACTACTCATACTTTTAAACTCATTCGATCACATACACAAAATATAAGACCATAACGCAGCGTAAATAATAAATCTCAATACGCACATAACTGGAACATTTATAATTAAGTACTGGTAATTTATAAAAGATATATTAATACTCAATAGGACGGATGGAAGCTTACACTTAAAATAGTGTAAAATTTACTATAACCCAGTTGTTAACCAAATAGGGATTAGAAGTACATATAATAAACCCTCAGGTAACGCTTCCTTATGTTACAAATTTTCACGTAGTCCCTCAGTCCTAACTAAAATGGGGTCTATTCAATCAAATAGGCTTGCATTCTGACTTGAAGTAATATCATTTCAACATTATTCATGAATAGTTTGAATTACTTCGACTTTGAGAAAATTTCAAAACATCTAATGTGCATTGTATCAATTCAGTTATTGAAAGATGAACTGGATTGAGTGAATATAAACGAAACATATTATGAGGATACGATGGGTCTAAATGAAAGTTTATCGACACTCGCTTGTCCCTCTCTGACAAAGTTCTATTACTGATAACCTTAGAATACTACAATGTTAGTGAATGATGGAACATTGTGTGACAAATTCGTCCACTGACAAAAGAAATTAAAAAATCATTGCAGATAAGATATTATTAAAAGTAAGAGTGAAGATAATGTTCTATTGGAGAACAAAACACTTCTGAAATAAATCAAGATATGTGTTGTGTCAGCGATCAAGGTAAGTGTGATTCACGAAATCTGAGGCAAACCAAATTCGTCCAGTTTGATATTGTTCTGCAAAAACATTAAGACAATACAAAAAGAAGTACGTAATTACCCAATGAAAAGCAAGCAGTACATTTAATACACAATGACCTAGAAAAATGACGAAATATTAACTGCTCTCGTGATTTGTAGTATTAATAATATAACTACAAAAACCGTAACAAAAACTTAATTAGTTCTCGATATTCTGGCTCCATATTTTGGACTTCTCTAGTCTTCGATAACATAAAGTTTACAGTGGAACAGGAGTCAAACAACAAACTATCATTCTTGGATGTATTAAGCACCAGAACCGACACAGGAAAACTGGAGACCCAAAAATGTCGGAAGCTGATCCACACAGACCAAATTCTCAATCACAGTAGCGACAAGCCAAGAACTCACAAAATCAACTGCGTACAAACTTTATTCAAGAGGGCGAGGACACAATGCAACACACTTGCAGCGCGGAAAAATGAGGAAAAATATCTGAAGACTATCTTTCAAAAGAATGGCTACCCAATCAACTTCATCAAAAATATGAACAAACGCATCAACAGAAACAAAGTCAGATACAGAGACCAACAAACTGATTACCCTACCATATATATATATATATAGGCATATTAGAAATTGCGACGAGATTGTTAGTCAGTCAGTCAGCTACAACGTAGGACCAGGCATATATGTGCATCGGTCCAGGTTGCCATATCGCATCACCACAACAAGATGAACACCGGATTCATAGCAGTGATTACGTCAAAGGTGGTAATATGTAAGAGAAAGATTGCATATAGAGATATAGTACAAGAAGAAAGAATTGGTTCGTAGAAAGAAAGATATGAAGCGATTTTAATCTCTTAGTTTAAGGGAAGACAAAGAGTGTATACACCTACGCCATTGTGATCGATTTTGAGCCATGTCAGCAAGAGTCTCCAACCATTGGTTACGATAGTCACGCGGACCCCAACTAAGTAGTCTGCATCTAACAACATGGCTCAGACTAGAAGTTAGTGACTCCAAGCACTGATGCCACGTTTTGGTTTGGCCGCCCTTAACTTTCTTCCAACCATCTCCAATACCGGATAGCATTGCACGTCGTGGTAATCGGTATTCAGGTATATGTAACACGTGGCCTAACCATCTCAGTCGATGAAGATTCATAACCTCATCAACTGACTTACCATCATTTCCTAATACCCTGTGTCTAACCTCACTATTACTTACCCGGTGATCCCAACAGACGCCAGCAATATTTCTAAGGCATCTGTGGTCAAATACTAGTAGCTTACGAGTGTCTTCTACTCTTAATTAATGGCCATGTTTCGCTGCCGTAAATTAAAACAGAACGGACTGGCGCGCAGTATACTCGTCCTTTTATTGATAGACGGATATCTCGCCTTCGCCATAGGTGACGTAAGTTGGCAAACGCCAAACGAGCTTTTTGATTCCGTGCTAAGATTTCGTCAGACGCCAATCCTTTAGGGCTGATCAGACTTTCAAGGTAAGTGAAGTTGTTGACATGTTCGACTACTTCACTCCCTATCCTTAGTTTATGTGTTGATGCAGACCAGTCCTGAAGCAGCAGCTTGCATTTAGAGGGAGAGAAGCGCATCCCAAACATTCTGGCATTGTTGCTTAGTGCTACCAAAAAATTCTGTATTTTATCAGCGTCTTCACCAAACAGGACTACATCATCTGGGTATTCTAAGTCGATAAGTGGACCTCCTGGATGGAGATCAATACCCGAGAACTCAGTCGACGAGAAAGTTATTTTCATCAGTAGATCTATGATGAAGTTAAACAAAAATGGGGAAAGTGGACAGCCTTGACGGACACCACTTGAGGTTGCAAAAGCAGATGACAGTTCGCCATAAGCTCTGACTCGACTAGTAGTGTTCGAGTAAAGAGCCTTTACAAGGTTTATGTACTTCTGGGGTACGCCTTTCAAAGACAGACACTGCCACAGAATCTCGCGGTCTACGGAGTCAAATGCTGCTTTTAAGTCGAGAAAAACTACCATTGTCGTACGCCGATAGGTATGCCTGTGTTCTAGAATCTGACGAATGGTGAATATGTGGTCGATGCAGCCACGACCAGGTCTAAAGCCAGCTTGGTTCTCTCGTGTTTGCAGTTCACGAGTCTTAGGCGTCTGATAATTATCGAGGCTAGTATTTTAGATAGTATGTTAGTTAAACTAATCCCTCTGTGGTTGTCACAGGATGATTTTGACCCTTTCTTATATATTGGGAGGATAAGTGATTGTGACCAGTTAGATGGGATAACGTCCAACTCCCAGATCTTAGCTAAAATATTAGTCAACCTAATCGCTAAAATTGGACCACCATCCTTAAAGACCTCTGGAGCCAGTCTATCTGGACCAGCAGCCCTTCCTCGCTTCAGATTAACTATAGCCTTTTGAACTTCAGCAAGAGTTGGGGGACCTACTTCAATGTTCCATTCCCATTGTCTGGGAATGGAGGGTAGTTGTAGAGTAGCTGAAGGCCAGTTGAACTGTTCCCTGAAATGTTCTACCCATCGTTCTAAACGTCTGGACTGGGAGCAGATGAGAGTATCGTCTTTTTCCGAAATAATCTCACTTACACTTGACTTATTAATTCCAGTTTCTTTTATTAGTCTGTAAAGCTGTCTTGTGTTCCCTATAGTCGCCGTCTTTTCCATTTCTTTTGCTTTCGTTGCCCACCACTGCTCACGGTCGTTCCTTAGACTTTTTCTTAACCTAGATCTGATTTGTTTTCGCTCTTCATCATGTTCAGAACCTGATGGGACGACTTTGCGAGAATCCATCAGTGTGACAGACCTTGAAGAAATCCACTGGTTCTTTGAACTCTGTGGTTTAAGTCACTAATAGATGTCACTGCTGTTTCCACAGCTGATTGTATGCCCTTCCAAGCAACATCTGGGTCAGCCTCGTCTTCAGAACTACCTAATTGTGAACTCAGTTGTTCTTGGAACCTATTTTTGGTCTTCTCGTTACTCACCTCAGTTCTAATGGGTCGTTTTAATGTGGCTTTTTTGCGTCCAGTGAGGCGCAAGCAGATGCGTGCCCGTATTAGGGCGTGGTCAGAGTCCAAGCAGGTACTCCAGAATGAGCGACAATCTTCTACCGACCCTCTCCAACGATGACTGATGGCAATATGGTCTATTTGAGTCCATCGTGTAGGTGTAGGGGGTCGCCATGTTAGACGATGTCTCTCCTTATGCTTAAAATATGTGTTTGCTAAAAATAAGCGATTGTCTGAGCACAGTTGCAGCAGACGGTCACCATTATCTGTTCGCTGTGCCGGAATGCTAAAATATCCACCTAAATGCCTTTCTGTTTGGTTTAAGCTACCTATCTGAGCATTAAAATCACCTGCTACGAGTACTATGTCTTCAGGTTTAGCTTTCTGAAGAAGTTCAGAAAGCTTTCTGTAAAATTCATCTTTCACATCATTTGAGCTGCACTCAGTGGGAGCGTAGGCAGAAACGACGAAAAGGCAACGACGTGTATCCCTATCCTTCCGAGTTCTTACGGAGCCGTTTAGCCGAACAGCACATAGACGACTGTTGACGGGGATCCACTCTAGCAGTGATTTTTCCGCCCACATGCTTAGTGCTATGCCTACACCTGCCAGTCCATGAGAACTGGCCATCGGGTCACCAGATACACGAAGGGTGTATCTCGTTGGCTCTCCGTTTTGCCGAGGTGAGGTCAAGTGAATGACCACACTGGAATCCTGTATGCGTGTTTCGGAGACACAGCATACATCAATGGAAAGAGACTCTAGGGTTTTAGCCAAGGAAGCCTGCTGACCGATTTGACATAGGGTGCGTACGTTGAAGGCTTCAATGTGTAGTTTGGAGCGAGGTTTCAGTAGACCTGGGACAGGGTTTTGAGCACTAGAATCGTTGGTTATGGTGACACTTGAGGAGGAAGCCGAAAGAGGAAGTTTAGAGTGGAAAGTCGATGTAGGAGAAATAACAGGAATCGAAGAGGAAGGTTGATTATGAATACAGTGGTCTTGGGTGCTGTTAAAGGTATGAGGGCGGTTATCACTTCCCGGTTGCCCACACCAAGGAAGGGTTCTTCTGGAGGTACCTGAAAAGGAAATTGGATTAGAGGTGGTCTCAGTGACCTGAGAGCGTGACCGCAGTGCCCAAGGGACAACTGCTTGAGGCCGGTCGCGCACGGCCTTTTCGTGGGAGGTTTTTGACGTGTTAGCTCCGTTCTTCAAAGGGCCTTACCGCCGGAGACGGAGATCCGTGAGGTAAGGTGAGGTGTGCATTTTTAGGGTCGACCTTTTCTAACCCCACCCCTCCTTGTGGGAAGGCAGCATCGCTGTCATCCTGGTTGTCTGGAGGAAACACCTTACTGCTGTCACACCTCTGTACAGTCAGCAGTACGACTTCGCCTTCGGACCTTGGGATTGTTGCTTTTAGTCTTACCGCTCTTCAACCGACCTGTCTGACATGGTAGGACCTTGAGGAACAGTTGTTCCAGCCAGTATAGCTCGGTTGTTTCATCACGATAGATAAGCCCGACCACCACGTCAAGGTAGCAACAACGGTCGGTCGAGATTGTTAAAGCCTTTTGGAATAGGTATAGCACACAAACCAACAAAATCACTCCAATCTTATGCAAACGAAAGAACGAAATGACAAAAGAAGAAGCGAAGATCACCCACAAAACAAACTGTTCCAACTGCCAAAAACACTACATCGGACAAGGTGGACTACTTCATCATCGCCTGAACGAACATCAATTAGGGGTCGAACGCCATGACATATCCTCCTTATATCAATGCAAGTAGACAACTGCGGATATACATTCGACTGGGAAAATGGTGAGATCTTGGATAGAGAAAATTCTAAAAACACCAGAGACTATTCGGAAGCTTGGCACTCAGGTCAATCAGCGATCAGCAAGCACATTGAAATCGAACCAATTTATCAACCAATCAAAAACATTATGGACAAATATGGAACTAAAAATCAAATCAATGACAGATGCAATCCAAATAAAGAAGTAAACAATGACAGGTCAAGGGTCAACAATAACCAATCAGGACCAATGCCAACATGACAAGCTGGGAGACACATGTGGAGAAATTCGAACACTTCACTTCTGCTCGAATCTTGTGCTGATGATGTCGTTTACAAGAACGATGAAAGCTTTACGACCAAACCATCCAGCTCACAGAAGAAAGTCTACAAGATAGTCTGTACCCATCTACATGGTTTAGCCCAATAGTTAGTGTCTTCATAGACAGATGAGTTGTATTTGTTTGGTCGATCTTAGCTTGTTTACAACCTACCCCTACTTCAGCCATCACCGAGGTAGTTTGTGGATGGGAATACATAATGTCTTGGTTAACAAAGGCTCACTACTTTGCTAATCGATGTCTCATACCTGGTACTCTACGTCTAATCATAAAATTGGTAATTTAATAGTTCCGAAATATACGAGCGATTGTTCGAAGACATCCGTGACCGAACAATAGCAATCTACGAATATCCTCCAACTTTTACGGCAACGTTTTCAAGCCATTATGTAGAATAGAACGAACTACTGGACAGTAAACTCATCCTTTGGTTAACAAACAGATCCTTATTACGCCACAAGTTGGCAAAAGCCGATCGAGGTTTCTGAATTCGTGCCGACACCAGCCCATTGGGGCTGATGAAATTTTGAAGATAATTGAAGCGACTGACGCACATCTTACAATTCGTTTAGGCGTTGATGCGTAGTTTAGATCCTCAGTAATATCTGTCTTCCCCAAAACAAAATAATGAACGATTTAGTGAGCTACTGTACTCAACTTTTAAATGTGCGTTTCATTATAAATAGGTATTTTGCAGTTTCCGAATGCTGCTGATAAGATGTTTATTTTCTAAGGCTATTAATTAATTCGATGAAAATATAATGGCGAATGTGTGCCAAGATTATTCGACAGAATCCTAAATTATCAGATCATAATATTAGACACTCGTAGAAGCCTAAAAGAATGGGCATTATGGACAAAATTCTTCAAACAAAACAGATATTGTTCATAAAAAACTAACAAAAGGGTGAAAACTAATCACACTAGTATCCAATTTATTTGGTGAAAAATACGCTGTTTAGTTTTGCTGAATTATCCTCAGTGTTGCCTTACCTGCTGCCACATATTAAATCAGTTCAACTGTCGAAAACTGGAACATTTAACTGGGTTATATCACTTGCGAAAAAACTTTTGGCAGTTTAACTAAAAATACACATAATTACTAGTGCTTTCTGACATCATTTAAGTCCAAAAACGAAAAGCGAAAGTCCTGGCAATGAATTAAATCCGATAACTTACAGCAGACGGCATACTACCCATGGCTGGAGTTGGTAAACTTTCTCCAGGAATCCCCGTTGGAACAGAAGGTGCGTTAAAGTCTTCATTTAAATACGTTGTATCAGAACCTAGCTCATCACACAAACCCATCAATTCTTGTTCCAGATCATTTTCATTTATATCGGGTGTCGCGTAGGACTGACTGAGAATATTTTGTAATTCATCAGTTGAGACGAGTAGATCAGCTAAATCGTCTTGAAGGTCCTATCGAAAAACAATGAAAGGAAAGATGTAAGACCTAAGTGCACCAAACAATATAGAAACTTCGATTAACACGTAACACCTACCTAGTAAACGATACCGAAAATAATCGCCATAATTTAAAAATAAACATCGAACCGAACTTTTAAAAGGTCACTACTTATACGAAACATGAAAATATCATCCAGCTATTTAATAATTTTACATAGTGCCTGACGTTTAATGTGGATATCGTCCATTCACCATTTCCTTTACACACAGCCAGTACGTTTAATGTGGCATGCGAGGTATGTTTAAACAAAAGACAAAGAAATTTGAAGGAAACCCATAGTACTTCCGCATTAATGTGGATATTTTTGTACCTGGAAACGTGAGAGCGAAATTAATATACTTTCATAATACTAATTCTTATCACGAATATCGTTTGACTAGATGACTGAAAACTGATAAGCTGAAAAAAGGTCCTGATAATTTACTTTGATCAATCAAACTGAATTTGTCGTTACGTGATATGTGGTTCACAAACTTGAATACGAGTGTTTATCGGAAATTGGTGAACTGTACTATAATGAGGATAGCTATTTTCTGCTTCGATCTGGGCACTCGGGCAGTATCTCAGCCCGCACACAAAAACATGATAAACTATCTACTTATGAAAAACATTCCTCTCGCTCCAAATAACAATCAAGTGACTCGCATTATTATTATTTACTACGTCATTATTCACCCTCTTTTATTTCCGCTCTGTTTATACTTATTTTTTCGACTTATACAGCAGGTCGACTTTTGTGAAGATTCGAATGTATCTAAACGTTCTCGAGTCACAGTCCGGTTGAAAATTGTATGTTACCACCGAATATGAGTACTGAAGCAGTTTTTCTGAAACCACGTGCACCATTCAAACTGGCTGCCTTCGACGTTCGCACACTTATGCACGTTGGACAACAGATAGAGCTGTCTATGTCTTTGCAAAGTCTTCATATCGATGTCTGCTGTCTATCCGAGACCCGTATTCAAGACTCTGGCGAAGTACTACGAATTCGCTCTACATCTGTCACTTCGAAAAGCTTGTTTTACGGGGACCCTGTGGCATCTTCGTCTGGTCTTGCTGGCGTTGGTGTCGCACTAAGCGCTAGAGCTGAGGCAGCACTAATCGATTGGATCCTTATTAACAGTCGGTTATGTGCTGTTAGGTTGGAAAGTCCCATCAAAATGAGAAGAAATCGGCGTGGGAAACTATGTCTTTTCGTCATCTCCGACAGACTGCAGCCCGGATGCAATCAAGGATGAGTTTTACCACCAGTTATCTGTTCTTCTCCAGAAAGTGCATTCGATAGATATTGTAGTACTAGCCGGAGACTTGAATGCTCAGGTCGGGCGTCTAGGCACAGAAGAGGATTGTTTAGGTGGTCGATGGGGACTTGTTGGTCGCAGGACAGATAACGGGGACCGTCTACTGCAACTATGCACAGACCACAACCTGTTTCTGGCTAGCACTAACTTTCGGCACAGTCATCGCCGATGTGCCACTTGGCGTCCTCACTCTGCATCTCAAGCCTGGACTCAGATTGATCACATCGCGATCAGCTACCGCTGACGTGGTTGTCTGCAAGACCGCCGCTCCTTTTGGAGTACATATCTGGACTCTGATCATGCCTTGGTCTGCGCCAATCTTACCTAACTTTTCAGTGGACAACAAAGTGACCGCCATCAACGGATTGATGTTAGCAAGCTGGTTGCAACTTCTGTTGCTAGTATGTATCGAACCGAGCTATTTTCTAGGCTAGCTACCATTCCGCCGAAAAGCATAGATGAGCATTGGTCGCAATTGCATGACCCCATCAAAATGGCGGGTACAGTCAGTTGTGGGTTCGCGAAACGTCCCGCTTATAAGCACTGGCCTTCCTCAGGCTCCTTACAACTCATTGAAGCCCGTCGGTCTACTCCGGGTGACCGTGAGTTTGACCACAAACGAAGGATGTTACGTAAGGAAATTGGGCAAAGCTTGCGTAAGGACCGAGAAGCCTGGTGGTCGAAGCGTGCTAATGAGTTGGAAGCAGCAGCTGCATCTGGTAATGACCGGAAGCTCTTCCAACTCATCCGAGCCACGGGCAGCAAGAAGTCTGGTGTGGGCGAAACAATCTACGAGGATGATGGGATGCCAATCACTAACATTCATCGACGTCTTGGACGATGGGCAGAATTTTTCGAAGGGCAGTTCAACTGGCCTGCTGCTCCGGCAACATCGGTCAGACTGTCCTGCCCTCCATGACCGGTGACGAATGATCCACCAAATGAGGCGGATGTCCGCAAGGAACTCCAACTCCAGCGCTACAAATCACCTGGCCCAGACGACTTACCTCCAACCCTTTTTAAAGATGGTGGTGACTTTCTGACTAAGGAACTGACGACGTTGTTTACAAAGGTCTGGGAGCTCGAGAGTGTACCAACGTCATGGAATGAGTCGATAGTTGTCCCTATCTTTAAAAAGGGTTCACGTCGTCTCTGTAACAACTAACGGGCGATAAGTCTACTTCCGATTGCCTCCAAGCTATTGGCTTCCGTCATACTTCGTAGACTGTTCAAAACCCGAAAAAGACTGGCTCGCGAGGAGCAGGCTGGGTTTCGTTCTGGTCCAGGATGTATTGATCATATCTTCACCCTCCGCCAAATGTTAGAACACCGCCATACTTATCAAAGGCCAACAATCGTAGTGTTTCTTGACATCAGATCTGCCTTCGATTCGCTGGATAGGACTGTTCTCTGGGATTGTCTATTGAAGAACGGTGTGCCTGAGAAGTTTATTAGCATCCTAGGTAGCTGCATAAGTGCTGGTGGTTGCGTGTGTGATGAGATCAATGCACGTATAGTGAAAGCCAGAGAGGCTTATGCCAATCTGGGCCACCTTTGGCGCCTTCGTGATGTTAGTCTGGCTGTAAAAGGTCGGATCTACAACGCGTCGGTGAGAGCAGTTCTGCTCTATGCTTGTGAAACCTGGTCTCTCCGAGTTGAGGACGTTAGACGACTCTCTGTGTTCGATCATCGTTGTCTCCGAAGAATTTCTGACATCCAGTGGCAACACCATGTCAGTAATGCAGAAGTTCGGCATCGTGTGTTAGGGCACAGAGATGATAACTCAATTGGTGTCACCATCTTGAAACACCGACTTCAGTGGCTTGGACATGTTCTACGAATGTCGTCCCAAAGAATTCAACGTCGTGCATTATTTGCCGACTCTGGGACTAATTGGAAATAGCGGAGAGGTGGTCAGTGTATGACATGGTGTCATGGTATGAAAGAAAGCTGCAAAGGGCTGGCTTGTGTTGGTCCTTCACGACTCCCTCGTTGGGGTCTGAGAGATGGTGCTACACAGTGGCTAGAGACGTTATCAGATATAGCTCAGAATAGAAGCCAGTGGCGATCCTGCTGTAACCTTCTTTTACTTTCTTCATAAAAAGTGGTTGTGTCTCCCTTAACTGAAAGATTTTTTCTGATTGTACCTTTCCGTTCCCTCATTATTACTATTATTATTACTACACTACCTTACACCAATTTCTTCGTTATTGTTCTCTTTTTTTGCACTCCTTACCTTTTTTTCTTCCTCTTCGAATTCTCATTGTTTTGTGTGGCGCATATATATTGGCGCTCTCTTGTACCAATATTTATGTGTTCAAATAAATAAATAAATAAGTTATTTTCTAACTAGTCTCCTGGATGAAATTGCAAATGACTAATCATAAGCCACTAAGTCATGTTGCATTGAATGATATTTAGAAGTTTCAATTTGATGTTAGAATACATTAGCCAAGGTAGACCTATAGACCATACCACATAGTATGCAAAAGCTAGAGGAGACATATTTACATTTAATTCTCTATAATATTTATCACCATAATATCAGATATGAAAGACAACGAGAGATAGTAAAACAGACAAAACCTCGAGAAATATTAGGTCAAGAGAGGAAATTAGTCAACGGACTCAGTTAGTATTAAGTCTTGACATGTGTAATATTTTTAGTTGGTGTCAGACAACCATATTCACTTATTAAGAACTAAGTAATAAAGCTTAGTGACGGCTGAAATTGTGTGAATGCACTCATTTTCACAGCATCACTCTACATCTTTTGCTACCGACTGTTTCTCGTCTTTAGCCGTCACATTTCTGTACAGTCAGCAGTATAACTTCGCTCTCCGACCAAGGGTTTTCTGCATGGTAGGACCTTGAGATACGATAATTCCGGCCAGTATAGCCCAATTGGTTTATCGCGTCAGGCAAACGCAACCACCACGTCAAGGTAGTAGCAATGGCCAGGGGCGTCTTGAAGACCTAGTATGGAATCTAAACCTTCTGACATCTGTAGGACCAACAATAAGCAACTCCAAGAATTGGTCGCATGTTTCAGTCTGCACTGTTTATTTTCCAGTCAAATCATGATGAAGCGAGGATCACACATACGAGTAATTTGTGACTTGGCTCTTGAAAAATGTATCTCGGTTACCTGAATTGTTTGAATTTAACCCTTCTAATCGACTCTTTATGATTCTGCAATAATCTTGCTGACTTTTCTTAGGTGTGATGTTAAGTTTGGCAATTAATACTCGTAATTCTTAAGGATAGATCCAATATTTCTATTTACCAGACTGAATCTCTAGTCTTATTCGAATGGTATATGTATATATATTTTAACAACTTCGATATTAGTCGAACATGCATCCAGAAGTATAAAGGATTTAGTTCATAGCTGAATTGAAAGCATATATCAATTAGTGTTGTGTTCTAAAGCTCTGACAGCACGTAACAACCCAGTTATAACAAAACGTTTCCGTCAGGTTCGTATGGAGAGACTACAATTTATGGACAAACCAATCAGGTATACGATAACAGGAAACGGATTTTGGCGCGAAATTCGCCCATCCATTTGGTTAAATAAAGTCATGACACCATAGCTGATGTTAGTTCGTGATTAAAACCTTAAATTTAATTTCAAACCTTAACCGTCAACTGTAAATCATCATTCGAACCCCTTATACTAATTTATAACCCTCATTTGGCCTTAGTTATTAGGTGAACACTCTCAAAGTCAGTTGTGTCGCTTAAAGGTCCATATATGGTGTTAGCTATATTTAGCTCGATGGACGGAAAAGGAGAGCTTCAACAAAGTATGACTAGCATGGTCTTAGGTAAGACTGTTTGATACTAACGGCGTAAATTTACTTTTATAGACAAGCAAGTGCCTCTGGTACAAAATTGATGAGTAAACCATTGACACACAATTATGATCCTAAAGATATTGCTTCCCGCAAAGATTTCTATAGACTACAAAATTGCAAATGGTACCAGATACATCCACACTAGTGGACTTACTTCCACATTATTTAGGTTAATTTTTTTCATCTCCACTTTTAATTCTTTGGCACCGACTTTCATGGCATCCACTGTAACTTTGGTATCACGCACGGTCTGGATGGCAAAATTAGTCTGTTCCATATTAAAACTTTGGTTGGAAAGTTGTTCCTTTTGATTTTCATACACCTTCTTTTGCTTTAAAATTCTTAAAGCCTTCATTTTGACGCTCTCTTTTGCAGGACCGTCTCTCATCTTTTGCATTTGTAGTTTATATTTTTTAAGTTCCTCATCCAGTTTATCGATTTTTTTATCGACAGATTCGGCCCGGCTATCTACCTAAAATACCTAAATATTTAAATTTTGACGCAATTACATTGGAAATCACATCAGTCAGATTTGGAGGGGGCTGTTTCGGCTTAGCTTGTCCGAAGATCCGGTTCATAACTTTAACGCGGTACAACTGAGTTGCGCGGGTAACCTTACCTATTCAGAAAAACTGCAGACAGTTAAAAGTTCAAAAACCACTATCAGTCTTGCAAGGACAAGACTCTTTAGTGGTCTGTGTTATTCATGACAATACTGTTCTCTCAACTGATTTATCTTCTTTTCAAAAGAGTTCACAGATGAGCTTTCAGTCACATATTTAGGTAACGCGATACCTTTCTCATAAAAATGTTCATCATAATCACCTTTTACTAATAATGTAATCTTACTGCTTCCCCATTATAATGAGGTGATGTTTTTCACATCGGTCCTTTGGTTTATTTACGAATATGAGCACTTCGGGTATTATATAGATTTCGTAACAAGATTTACGTCATACATTCTTCCAGCCTAGAGTAAGGTCAAGGCACAATAAGAAGTAGCTCGTCCTCTTGCTGAACAGACATATAAGAGATGCCAAAAACGATTAACATGGTATTTGGGATAATACGTCGCAGTTAAAGAGTCCGGTAAGACAAAGAGGCATCATGTAATTATTTTTTTAAATTTTTATGGTCAATTGCGAAGTTCAATTTATTGCTATGTGTGGGCTGTTCTTGATCTTTAACCAAATTACTTATATGCACAATATCGTCATTTAATGCAGTAGTGGCGAAGTTTCGTAAACAAATCTATCTGCACTGTCGGTTGTCGCAACACTCGTATTTAATGCTATGGAGTTATACTGTTTATTTATCAACATGTCGGTCAGTATTCTGCAAACTTTGAGTAACTTTAAAAATGACAGAAACGACCAGATGGTTAAGAAAAACAAATGGTTGACACAGCAAACTGAAAAAGACCAAATTAGTAATTAACCGGAGTTTACTGTACCCAATGTATTCCTAATGAAGTGCCTGCTTGAGCATCTGGGCTACCTGTTCCTGCCATCTAGATATTTCAACAAGTGATCTATTTTTGTTTGTTTTAATATATCGTTATGTCTATTAATCGCATAACCTATTCTGCTGCGTTTCTGAAAAGCGCACAAACTTTTGTTGTCAAAGTTACAAAAAACTCAATAACAGACAATGTGGTTGCTGGCAATATACAACGAAAAGAATGCACATGATTCAGATGTTCATTCAGTGAACTGCTAACATCTAACTGGCGACCACTCAATATTTATCGCCAGGACCGACCAAGAAGAAAGAAACGGAAACTTGTTGAAATACTTTGCGCTGAGTATTCTATATTGTACCAAAAATATAATATTGAATAAAGCTGATAATAATAATAATAATAATAATAATAATAATAATAATAATAATAATAATAATAATAATCTGATCTAAACAGGAATCAATAGTATACAAAAATAATATACATAACGACTTCCTTAGAATGTCTTTATTTAACAAAACAGTGCAGTTTAAAATGCATACTGATTAGCCAATTATGCTGTACTGTTCAGTTGTTCCGATAAAACATTAAAATCATACACGTAGTAGGAGTGATATTGAACCATAGCTGCCCTGAAAAAGTCTTATGATGGTGGACCTGACGGGATACCTTCATCATTTGTGAAATATGGAAGTAGAGAATTTCCACTATTTTGTTTGAAACTTTTCAATCTATCTATGGAATATGGGACCTATCCATCTGTATGGAAAACATCCCTTATCACCCCTAGATTCAAAACAGGACCACGTGGTGATATTATTAACTATAGGCCAATTAATTTGACATCCGTGCTCTCAAGAACCATGGAAAAAATCATCCACAAACAGCTACTATCATTTTTACTTTCGGCTAGTCTGATCAGTCCATCCCAACACGGGTTTATGACTAAACGCTCATGTTTCACATCGCACCTGGAGGTTTTTGATCAAATTACCCAGAGAAGAGATGTTGGTCAGTCAGTGATAGTTCTTTACTTCGATTTTAGTAAGGCTGTCGACAGTGTCTCACACAAACTTCTTCTTTTAAAACTCTCTTCATTTGGCATACAGAATCCCCTTCCATCTTGGCTCAAATCTTTCTTAAAAGAACATAGCCAAATCGCTCGCTTTGGATCTTGCTACTCTAAACCTGTGAATGTAACCAGTGGGGTTATACAAGGAAGTGTGGTTGGTCCATCACTCTTTCTCCTTTTCGTCAATGACGTGTGTTGCCTTTCCAAGTACTTTATTCATTCTCTTCTCCCACGAAAGAAAGCTATATTTCAGCGGTAATCCAAGAGGAAATAAACAAGTTGTACGAATGGACTATTTCGTGGAATATGCCACTTAATGTTGACAAAAGTGGATTTATTCACATTGGTCTCTGCCTTAACTTAAATCTGACTGTGCACATACACTCAAACCTCTCAACACTGTTCGTGACCTGGTTTAAGATATAGCAATGGTCTGAACTTTTCTGAACACATTATATCTCAAGTATCCAAAGCTAGAAAGCTGATCGGATTGATAATGATAAACTTTAATAATATCGAATCGAGATTGTTACTATACAGAAAATGTGTCTTACCCATGCTTGAATATGGTATTTTAGTTAACAGTAATTGCAGACATAATGACCTGATTAGAATTGAATGTGTTCAAAGAAAGTTCACCAAAGCTGTTCTGGGGTAGTCTGATAACAAAGACTATCACCAAAGATGTCAACAACTCAACTTAGAACCTCTTTGGATCAGACGTATCAAATTAAATCTTGCCTTCATCTACCGACTTATTAACGGTATTTCCTACTCCTCGGTATCCACCCCTTCATTCATACCTTATGATATCATCCCACAATCTACGTAATAAGGAGAATATTCTAGCGATTTCAAGAACCCATACAAACTTACGTCAGAATTTTTCCTTATTCGCTACTCAACCATGTGGAACAGACTGCCAGTGAACCTCCGTTGCAGTGAAACTACAACCCGGTTCAAAGTCTCCTTGATGATTTTCTTTCCGAAAGTGGATTATTTCACCTATTGAATATCAATGTATTCAACAATGATTTATACAAACAAGGTCCGTCATCCATTTAATTGCTTGAAAAGCAAAATAAAACCGTTAAATCGTTTCACGTCTATTTTATTTTATTTCTATTTATCTTAATATATGAAATCTGCTCATGTTCGTGTTTATCATTATTACCGTTATTAATATAATTATTAGTTCCCCGACACATTAGATATTCTTTTTGTATCTTCTTATCCTTCTAAACATATTGAACTCCAGATCGTTTTTTGAAATCAATTCTGACTTTCATAGCATCAATCTTAATTATTGTTACACAAATATTTATACTAATATCCGGTTTCACTCTGTATACTATTACATAAATCTAAATGTATTTATCTGAGTGCATTAAAGGATTTTTATTTTATTTTTCTAAATTGTTGGTTTCCTTGTGAGGTTGATATTCATTACACAATTATTATTCTTATCATGGATGAGACTTTTCATTTCTTTTCTCTCCTCTTTCCCTCTAAATAAATATTCTTAAGATTACGAAGTTTGTAATTATGACAATAACTTGTGTTACACTGAAATTAACTTCTCGGACCCGTTTTATCTTCACTTTGCATATGTGACTCATACATATTGATATTTCACTCAATTGAGACTTTCATAGCATCACTCCAAAGTACGACTGCACAAACATTTATTCTAGCGTCATATCTTACTACAATTATAAGTTATTTTTTCTTAATTATTTTTTGTTACTAATTTGACGATATATACATAATCGTTTGTTCTTGTTTTATGTTCATAAACACGCCTATTAGACTGTTTGCGTATTTCACGTCTTCTTTATTCCTATTCCCTTATTTTCTCCATTTCCTTCTTTAAACTCAATTCAATATTCTTCTCAATTGCACAGACCCGATTCATTATTATTAATATTCTACTATTATTGCTCCAAATTTTTTTAAAATGGCAATTATAATGCTGACATTATTGAAAATTGTGTATTATTGCATTTTTTGAAGAAACCCGAAATGGTTTCTTCACAACACTCATGTACCCATAAGATGTTTGTGAATAATAATATTCATAACCCGTGAAATAACACAAGTCCCGGTAACTTTTTTTGAAAGTATATATTTCGAGTCAATAAACTAGCACAACATTTATGAGTCCAGCTGAAAATCGGAAACCAACAGTTAGTTGTCAACCCTATAAAAATCTATGAAAATAAAGCAAGACCATATACATATAATATACCGTTTCGATAAATTTATGATTGTAGACAATTTCATATTTCCACTCTCATTTGCTTACTTTGTTTCTAGAGCCTTGGCGAAAGGAGTCGTATTTTAAGTCTTTTCCCAACATGGGACGACTTTAAAAATGTGGCACTATTTGCCGTATCATAACATATGTGACTCTTGACATAGTTGATTTATGATGATTCTGTCCTACTGATCTTCGGCTGTTCAATCAAGTGAGCCGTAATATATAGTAATCTTAGCTTACACAATGATCACAGTATTTTCATTAAGTCCATTCTGACTTCATGTCAAAACTATTTTTCCGAGTTCCCAGAGATTATGTTAGCAACCACGTCTGTATATACAGCACCAAGTAGCTTGAAATGCATCCTCTAAAGATTTCGTCAACAGTCATATATCTGCCAACAAACAAAATCCCAACAGTTCTGGGCGTTAATAACAGCTGTAAAGTCGTATAAATGTTGTGACCAGGATGCAAATTAAATATTAAAATTTCACATGAATATAAGTGTTCCTAAAATTTACTTGTTACCTACCCTTTGTAAACTGAGCGACTGTGATATGGATGGCATAAAAATGTTTTTTTTGAGTATTAAATAAATAATTTAATAAGTGGATACTTATCTAGTAATAAGAGAGGACGTACCAACGGGAATATGACAATATTGGTAACAATTCATTCTCGAATAGTAATACGTTGCACGGGGTATGCCACGATGCATGCATGATCGAATTGATGCAAGTGTTCTAAGGTGGTCGAAAGGGATGATGAAGCCAGCCATATAAACAATGAACTTTCAAAGGTGTATATACAGTCAAAGACCTACCTTTTTAATTCTT